AATAAATGAGGCAATGCCACACGTATCTTGTGCTGCCAAGGCTATTTCATGGCATTCTGCTCTGAATAAATATGTACTATTAATAATAATTATCAAAGTGTTAGTCCAGCTTATTATGAGGAAATTGTATTCTGATCAAGAAATGGTTCTTAATTTTATCCATTAAACTCAATCGCTAAAGTAGGAAAGCTACAAAACCATATAAAAAAGAGTTAAATGCATCAGTGACCCCTGAATTTGTCAAGGGGTGCCACTTAGGTCCATGAACTTTAAAAACGTATTTCTGGGTCCCTGAACTTGTTAATTTGTGCATCGCAGGTCCATACCAGCCACATATGCAATTCTTGCTGACGTGTCACGCCAACATGGCATGCATTTTTGTACTTAAACCCTCCTCTTCTCCCTTCTCTTATTAATGTATCCCTTCAATCTTGCTCTTTGCCTCAAACTTAAGTGACAACGGTGGGCACGCGCATGGCCATGAGGACGACAAACTCTGCCACCGCACACAGAAAACAACAGCACACTGCAACGCACTCCGCTGCCATCAGCCCGTCACGCCGCCAGCCACCTCCCGCACCGTGCTTGTTCGCGCTCCCGCCGCGCTTCCATGGGCAGGAACCGCTACAACCACTGTTGTGCCTCGTGCACAGCAGATCAAATGTTGAAGTAGGCCATTTGCTGCAGGCAGCACGACCTCGCCGCCCAGCTGGGGCTTGAAGTTGATGCAATCATCATCCGGCTCGGACGTGGACGCTAGTGTCGCATTGTCCAATACGCGGCGACGTTGAGGAAGTACATGCGGTCGCGGCCGCTGGGTTCTCTGGCCGGAGGTTGAGCTGCAAGATCACCACCTTGTTCGCCTGCTGCGGAGTCTAATTACACGGAGCATCATCTTCAATTCAAGGCAACGACGATGATGAGCACGGTCACCATGGCGGCCACCGTATACGTATACCGCGCCGCATCCAGGCACCAGAGTGTTGAGGTCCCTGTTCTTGTCCGTTCTCATGTCTACGCCTCCACTCTTGATTGCGAGGGCAGGGGCAGGGGCAGGGGCGCAGGGCCTCGTCGTCCTCCCGCTTTGCGAGGGTAGGGGGGCAGGACCTGCGTGCGGCGTGCCGGCAAGAACAGGGGCGGCCCACAAACGCACGGGTGGCGTGCGACCGACGTGGTCGAGGAGCTCGACGTGCCACTTCCCTCTAAGTGCACCGCGTCGTCGGCCAGATCGAGGCACTAGATCCCAACGACCTGCACGGAGCACGGCGTCCTCGGGCTAAGGTCCGGCGAGGCACACGCGCTCGTCTGCACGCTACAGTTGCACTGCCTCCTTGCCGCCGCCGCTGACCCCGCGAACACCTTCAGCACCGGCCACCGCTTCAACCGGACGGCGAGCATCTTGCGGCTATAGCAGATGGCGTCCACCTCGTGCCCGCCGAGCGTCAGTGTGTGCGGCGGCGGCGACGGCGACGACGACAGCGACAGCAGCCCCGCCACGTCGCTGGGCTTCGTCTCGCCGCCGCTGTCAACTCCACAGCTCTAGATGTCGCCGACACTGGCGAGCTTCTGTCGGCGGCGCGCGCTGTCGCCTGAGGTAAGGCTGCGTGAGGGCGATCACCGGCGCGAGCTGACTGGCTGTAGCGGATCTATGTCACGATGAGGCAGGGGAACGACGTGCTCGACAGGTGCGGCTTGAGTGGGTGCGCGGTGCCAGTGAGCCTGGGCCCGGCTTCGTGGCTGAGGTTGCTGTGCGAGGACGAACGACCGCGTATGGGCGGAGCTAGCCGCCGGTTGCTACAGCATGGCCATGGTGGCAACACGCTCTTGGTTCGTGGCTGTAAGGGGTTAAATGAAAAAAACATGCCATGTTAGCAATGACACGTAAGCAAGAAAACGTTGACAAAGCGATGTGGACCTGCGGTGCATCATTTAATAAGTTTGGTGACCCATAAACAGTGTTTGCCTAAACGGCCACTAAACGGTAAATGGTGGTAGACTGTTTTGTTTAGGGGGTAAATGAAAATTAAACGGTTGACTGTTGAAACGGTCAAAAAACGGTCTAAACGGAACGGAGATAAACGGTATTAAACGGGCTAAACAGCTGTTTAAACGGTTGTTTAGGCGAACACGAGGTAAATCTAGTTCAGTTTTGTATGGATAAATTTGTATATTTAAGTTTATTATATTTATAAATGTGTACACTTGATATGTTACATGCATAAATATCTATATTTGGTTCTTTTCACATGCATAAATATATATACATACCAAAATAATTGATTTTTACTCGGATAAATATGTATAAATGCTAGAATACTTGATTTTTTACATGCACATATATAATTATATGTATTTTTTTAAAGTACAAAACCGTTTAACTTCGTTTAAACACCGTGTAAAACAGCCTAAACTCTAAACGAAGGACGACCGTGTAAAGACCGTTTACCGTTTAGGAAAACATTGCCCATAAATGCATTTTTAGAGTCCATGGATCTAAGTGGTACACCATGACAAGTTCATGGACCCTGGTGCATTTAACTCTATAAAAAATGTACAGCTGATCGGCTATGCACATTTGCCCATTAGACCAATAACTTCAACACTTGTGTAGACTCACATCTGCCCCTCGGAATTGTTCACATCGACTCTGTATGTAAGGGCATATAAATTCCATATATTATATAAGTTTAATTTGATTGATGCTATATTGAAGTTGATCTTCCTTTCAAGATCAATCAGTACCATGCATCATATGAATCATTTATACTGTAGTGTGGGCATAGTCATTGACTTTGTACGCGATCATGATTAAATAATTCCTTCCATGAAGTGGAATCACTTTCTCAGTCAAAGTGCTCTTGTGCTTATATACTGTATTATGAAGCTTTTGTGCTGGATACAAAGAAGCTCGCAAAATAATACTACATCATGCTCTCACGCGAAATTACTTTAGCTAGGTTTAGGGTACTTTGCAAATACTTCATACATCCTTGACAGCAAACTTCAAATGTATACTTACAATTCAGAGATGTATATGTAATTGATTCTCTGAACTTGGATTCTCCTTGAAGGTTGATAGGCACCCTGAGTTCAGGAAGTCAAGATGCCTTTTTGTTGTTCGCACAGATGGTGTTTGGATTGATTTCTCATACCAGAAGTGCCTCCGTGCATACATCCGGGAAAATTATCCGTCTCATGCTGAGAGATTTATACGAGAACATTTCAAGCGAACATGAGGAAACTCAAATCATTTGAATACATTGATTTTTATGAGTTTTGGAATAGTTTATGTACATTATTGAGCCTCAAAGCCTGTTGGTTTATTTATCGCTTCCTTGTACGCGTGCATGACTGAAATGTTAGACTACATTAACCTTTGCATTTGTAAGACTGTCTCCAACGGCGTAGGCAAAGGGTGACCTAAACGCAAAATGCGTTATGCACAGTGTATTGCGTCTTAGAATCACGCTCCAACGGAGGATGCATTCAAAGCAGCTATTTTGGGTACCTGGCGAATCGATAGGCAAAAAAGCGTCGTCTCTCGCGACGACGCAAAAGCATAGCAGAGAGGGGGAGCTGAGGGGGGCTTCGGCGTGAGCTTCGTCCACCCCGCCGCCGCACCGGCGCCTCCAGGAGCGGCGCAAGTGGGAGTCCTCCTCGGGCTCCGGGGGCAGCTCCTCCTCCACCGATGAGCCCGAGCCACGCCGCATCCGCGTGGAGGCCCACTGCCCGCGTTGCTCCAAGCACATGGACATCCTCTTCTCCCACCGCCCCCCCTCCGACGCGGCCATGGGCGCCACCGCCTTGCGGCCGGCCATCGGGCGCTGAACCTCTGCCCTAATCATCGCAGCGCTTACTTCTTCCGCCCCAGACGTCCTCGCCCTCTTCCTCTCGCCACGCCGCCGCCCGCCGCTCCTCCTTCCTCCACTTCAAGCCCGCGCCCTCGCCGCCATGGCCTGGCCCATGGCGCCCGTCCGGATCTCACGTTGAGGTAGTCGCTGGGTTGTACTTTCAGCGGTAGCTCCTCGGGAGGTAGAACCCATGGGCGCTGGCGGCGGCCGCCATGAGCAGCAAGCAGGTCAGGGTGGGCGGGCAGGTCGGTTGTGGCGCTCGGCCCTGCTCCGGCGAGGAGCTTGTCGGAGGAAGGCGAGGAGGGGGTGTCGGTGGCGGCGGAGCAGATCTAGCGGGGGGCGGTGGTGTGGTTGCTCGGGCTCTATTGGAGAAGGCAGAGATTTGGGTCCGTGACTTTTCACTGTAGATGACCTATATTAGTGAATGGGTATCGTTTTTGGGTCGTTTTTGTTGGAGACAGTCTAAAGGAATGCATGTAAGGTTAAATGGTTCAGATGAGGTAATGTGAATAAGTGATTGGCAGACGTGTCTAACCTCCTAGTAATTCTTTAGTGATAACGGCAGACTTCAGAAGTGTAGGCAAGGAGGCGCTTTGAATAATGTGTGCAGATATACATGCCATGGATCGGTTCTTTATTCAGTTTGTACATTTCTGTATGAACATACATATTGTACACATAGAGTAGCTTGGTCACACTTATGGACCGCACAGGGCACAGCATACATTGTTATGAACGACGTATAGGAATATGAAGTAAAGAATCAAACCACAGAGGAGACACACGATTTAACGTGGAAAACCCCTCCGATGTGAAGGGGAAAAACCACGGGCACCAGCCAGCAACAATCTCACTATCTCAAGAGTTTTGGGTTACACGCCTATGGCGGCTTACAAGAGAATCAAGTCCCCACGAAACCCTAGCAAGGGTGTATATATATCAGACAGTTTGCATGGGGGGGGGCCCCGCACCCCAAACACATGTGGGCGAGACACGATGGGCGGCCAGACTCGCCACGCTCCGCCCAAGCCTCCGGCGACGGGCCTCCGCTTCGCTCCGTCAGAAGCCTGGCCTATATCCTGGAGTGAATTTGGAACAACTCCAACATACATTACAGGAGTACTACTTGAGAAGGACAGGCGTCAGAGTTCACTTGGTCGGCCTGGGCCTCACGACCAGCACCGGGCAGCAGGCGTGATGGATGAGGTAGTCGCTCACGCTGCCTAAGAACGCCCTGCATCGTCAGTTCGTCACAAAGAACACACATGAGTAGATCGACAGGTTTTCGATGGCCTCGTGTGGCAACAAGGCAAATGCGGTCTCTACCTCTTGATTGTGCCGAGTCCCCGGCTGCCGAGGACGAGAAGCCCGGCCTGCATCCGCTCCACGGCCTGGCAGATGGCCTCCTTGGCGTCGCCCTCCACGACGGCCCCCGTGGCGCCCACCTGCCTCTCCTTGCAGACGTCCAGCGCGCGCGCCACGATCCTGCGGGAGTTCTCCTCCTGCGCCACGGTGTGCATGGACTCCGCCGCCGCGGACGGGGCGTACACGACGGCTTTTGGATCATCAGCGTACGTGGCACGAATCATTCAGGTGTTAGCTTGGCTAGGAGCAAGGGTGGTCGGGTCGGGTGGTACTGGTACCGATACCGTGCGCGGCGACGGGGTAGGCGAAGTGGTCGACGGCGTGCTGCGCGTGGACGACGACGAGCGTCGCGTCCGGGTGGCACCGCACGATGTTGTCCAGCGCCCACGACAGCGCGTGCAGGCTCTCCTCGCTCGCGTCCACGGCCACCACCACCTCCAGTGCCGTCGCCGCCTTCCTCGCCGTCCTCTCGCCACCTCCATGCGTGCCGCTCACCGCCGCTGACGCCTCGGTTTGCTCCATGGCGCGCACGCTTATACGTACGTGTGTGTAACCGGGCCACCGGGCTAATCCTTTGGCTCGCTACGGCGCTTCTATATAAGAAGAATAGAAGATCGATCGCTCGTGTCTGTACTCTGTACGCGCACAGGCAGAATACTAGCTAGCCGCGCCTCTCCTGCTTTGTCATGTGCGGTTGTGCCTGGCGGACGGGCGGCACGGGATAGAGACGAGCGGAGGCCTAGGCGGCCGTTCTTGCTGGCTTCCGCCGTTCCTCGGCTTGTGCTTGCGTTGCAGCTTCTTGTCTTCCATGCACGCACCCAAGGTTCGCAGAGCAGACACCTGGCTTTGGTTCGCGCGCCACCACCACAACCGCAGTGTGCAGCGCCCCTGTTCGTATCCTGGAACTCCCACTGCTGGCTGCTGCCCAGGAGGGCGGTAACTTTTGCCTCGTTGCAGGAGCAACGAGAACATGGCAGCACAGATCATCTGCTCCCAGCGGCAAGCATACATCCCAAGTGTGTTGCTCGATCGATCTGAGAGCAAACATGTACCCTGCGTATAGTCATAAGAGTCGCACAATACTGTAAAATGGGAAAAGAGCGTCTGTAGCCATACAAGCAAGCTCAGGCCCAACTCTCAAGCTCATCCATCAATTGGGACTTAACACACTAAATCCATGCTAAACGCTGAATTGGTTCAGATAGAAATTCATATTACATTGCCTTGTGTTTTCTGTCTATCTCGGTAACATATCCTCGGCCATCAATCAAGAAAAACGGTGGCAAACAAAAGACTGTCAGTCTGCAGGTACTGAAAGAAGCACTCCTTTTAAACCAAAGGACCATGATCAAGCGGGCATCTTCCACTTTCTTGCCATATCCGCTACCATCTCCGAGAACAGTTTAAGCTGAACCTTAGTGTCCGGTTTTGTTTCATGGCAAAGACCAATTTCCAGCCTTAAAGTCTTTATAGAAGGCGGACTTTCTTGAAACAACAAAGAACACTGCATATGAAGTGATGTTATTACCCTTCATCGGATACTAAAAATGCTGCATGAACTATATATGTAGGGTATATAAGATTGAAGGAACAGACCAGGAATTGCAGGAACAATATAGCCTTTATCCTGCAGCACTTCTTGAAGTGTTTTTCCTTCTTTTACTTTGATCCACTTACTGGAGTCATCAGCTGCACATCAAAACCAGAATGCAAGGAGTTGTATAAAAGACCGATTAGTACAACATGACAAGTTGACAAGTGACGACACAAGAGTTTCTTGCAGTACTGTAGTTTGGCTAATAGAGGAATATATGGAAGAACATTAAAGCACCTTCCTAATAGTACTAACAAAAAGAATAGCAGGGCAGATTCAACCATGCTATTTTCCTTGAGTATGATAAACTAAAAGAAACAAAAATAAAGAGCATTTGCTAGTCGACATACTTGATGTAACAGTGCTACATTTGCTACTGTCATGTTCTTCATCTTCCCCGTCAAGCAGGCTATCCGGAAGCGCCTTCAAATCTACAGTGCCTTCTAGAAGATATCTTAATACTTCACTTTTGGACAAAGGTTTGCCAAAACCATCCTAATGCATAAAGATGAATATAGCCAGTCAAAGAGTACACTAGTACAGAATTGACCTATTTCTTTAAGCTGACCAATAATAAAACCTGCAGTAGGATGCCAACTGAACCTTAAAGTAATGAATGAGGTTAAACCCATAAGGTTAGTGAATTAGACAAATTGGACTAGATGGTGATAACAACAATCTCTGCGATAGGTTTGAAATCTGAAGTTGCCGATGTCTCTTCAATTATCATCAGATGTTTTAATTTCAAAGCAATAAAGGGTAATGTGATGCCATGGTTTCCATTTTTCAGGGTGTCACCAATAGGAACTAACAGCAATGAAATACAACCAATGACAACAGTTAGAGTATAGACAATATCGCAATACTAATACTTCAATTACATCACAATCATGGATTATACTATGTTCATTTGTAATCTATGTCCTGTGACTATTTCCTAATTGCAGGACAGCTTAAATGTGCAGGTGTTGCGAGTCAGTACAACATGTTATTGTTATCTGATGACTCCCCTGCCAGAGTCACCTATGGTTCACCTAACCTCAACAGAATTTTCCGACATCCAAAACAACAAAAGGATCAACAATTGTTCAAACACAAAATGAAGTGTCAAATTTTGTTATAATGTTCAATGAAGAGGCTACAACACACGATTTTTTTTCTTAACAAAACTGTAATCATAATGCCTAGCAGGAAGAAGTAGGGGTTTATTCTCAAGCAAAATTAAATTCATCCACACAAACCTGATAATACAATTCGGTGGTGTTTAGATGCGAAATGGGTTGAAAACTTTCTGCGAAATGTTTTCAAGGTGAAAACCCAATTCTGCAAAAAAATTTCAGACCGTGTTTAGATGTACCTGAAAACTTTTGAGCTGTAACAAAAGATGACAGATTTGCCCATAATAAAAGATGACAGATTTCCACGTTGAAGTTGTCATCCGCCATGGCTGCCGGATGAGTTGCCGGAGAATGGGACCGGCGACCACGACGGGAACCGATCCAGAAGGTGCGGTGGACGAAGATCCACGCGTGCCGCTGCCGGAGAGTGGAGGCGGCCGTGGGGCACGCGGAGCGCCGGAGTTGAGGCCCGCGTGGCCGGCCATGCCGCCTCCTCCGCCGCCGGATCGAGCCGTCCAAACGCCAAGGGTACGCCCGGAGGCACAGACGCGCACGGGAGAGGGGGAGAAGCCGCCCTCGCCATCTGCTTCGTCCTGGCCGTAGCGTAGGAGGTTCTCGTACCTCCCCATTCCGGGCCAAGCCTCGCCGTTGGAGTTGAGATCGAGGGAGGAGAGGCCGGCCCGTTGAGCGTTGATGGAGCTTGAGCTAGGGAACTGCGCCGGCGGGTCGGAGTAGAGGTTGAAAGCCGACGAGTGCTCCGGTTGGGAGAAGAAATCGCGGGTGCCGTCGTCGTTTCCATACCCGCCGCCGTTGCCTTCGAATCCGTCCATGAGCGCTCGGACGCGGCTTGAAAGCCCGATCTACGCACGGAGAGGGCACGGCCGGCCGCGGTGAAGGAAGTGTGGGGAAGAAGGTGAAGGCTGGCGATGGAGGAGGTGGGGGAGAGACTGAGAGGAGCGGCTGCAAGGGAGATCAGCGCGGCGGCGGTGGAGGAGAGTGGCGGAGATGGAGATGGGGAAAGGAAGAAGGAGAGTGGCGGCCGAGCGAATGGATAGGGTAGGGAGGGAGCGGGCGAGGGGTACAGGCGCGTCCAGGCCGGGACCGAGGCGAAAAATTTCGGATTCGGGAGTCTGGAGTCCAAAATGTGAAATTTTTTGGAGGGGAACTTTTTGCACTTTTCACACCCATGTTTAGTTACATTTTGCAAAAAGATGACCCAGAATCCAAAATTATTTTGCAAAATAGAGGAACTAAACATGGCCCTTGTGTAAGCGTGGTTCTCATCCCATGGCAATGGTGGAGAACTTTCTGAGAACATGTTTGATAGTTAAGGATACCATTACCATAAATTCAGTAAAGCTACTTATACATCTACACGACTACACATTTTAACTCAACCAAAGAAAGCATCATGTTGTTCAGAAGGATATGACATCAAGGTGGGGCGAGAAAGTATCTGTATCTGGAAAATCCTCAATGAAGTCACTCGACATGGCCTCTGGGTAGAGCAGAAGAACAGGCCAGTGGAGCACGCCCTGCTCATCCAGCTTTGGCTTCTTTACCCCTGTCAGCTCTTGATAGGCTGCCTTCCCAAGCTTCACCCCTCTCATTTCCATAGCAGCAGCAAGATCCTACATACACTCAATAGCACTGGTTTACTCCACATATTTGAATTCCAATATTAGTTACAGCAGTGTCAATTGTTAGGCAAAAGGAGACCTTGGCTTTGGCGATTGCTTGTGCCACTCTGACGGTCTTGCTCTCTCGGTTTTGCGTCCACCTCCGATAACAGTTTCTTGAATTCCTCGTTAGCGGGGTCCTGTTCGAGCCCCTTCCGGCAGAAGGATGCCGCGTCCGTCAACAAGTCGAGCGCAAGCGTCGCCTTCACTGCCCGATAGTACGCCTAGCTACAAGAACATCTCACGTCACGCGCCAGCTCCTCCGCCGGATCCAAAACGTACTAAAAAAGAAGGAGCGGTTATCTTGACGCTGGAGGGAGAGAGGCGGATGGCCTGCTCGGCTTCGTCGAGGGCCCGTCGGTGGTTGCCGAGAAGGAGGTTGACGTGTGCTCGGTTGGCGAAGAGAACGGAGGCGTCAGCGGCGGCAGATGCATCGAGGGAGGAGAGGGGCTCCATCTGGGCGATGGCCTTCGTGTAGCAGGAGACCGCCTCGGCGTAGTGCTTCCGGCCCATCCGGACGAACTGGTTCCCCTGCTCCTTGAATTCGCGCGCCGCCGACTCCTTGATGGCGGCGATGCCGGCCAGGTCGGCCTGCTCGCTCTCAGTCAGGGGCTCAGCGCCGGGCTCCATCAGCAGCGCCATGGCCAGCGGATTGAGGTGTTCTCGATTTCCTTCCTTGACGGCGGCTGTTGGGCTCTTCGATTCTCGCTTCGCCGCCGCCGTTGCCACCGATTCTCGATTCCTTTTTAGACCTGATGAGGGATGGCTGATTCGATTCATGCTGCTACTAATTGAAGCAAATCATTTGTATTTCAAACAAGCAGCGCCTGTAGCTCAGTGGATAGAGCGTCTGTTTCCTAAGCAGAAGGCCGTAGGTTCGACCCCTACCTGGCGCGGTTTTTTTAACAAAACTATATTTTTTCCTTTTCACTGTACTAATTCCTTTAAAATTTTGCTTCTTCTTATTTCTTCACTATTAAAAAATATATTTTTCCTTTTCACTATACTAATTCCTTTAAAATTTTGCTTCTTCTTATTTCTTCACTATACTAGTTCCTTTAAAATTTTGCTTATTTCTTTGAAAAAGAATTTAACCTACCTCCATATTTTTTTCCTTTTCACTATACTATATAAGGTGTTCTTTTAAAACTTTGCTTCTTTTCTTATTTCTTTGAAAAAGAATTTAAACTACCTCCATATTTTTTTTGTTCACCACCACCTTCACCATGGAGAGAATCTAAAAGTTACTAAATAATTAATAAAACAAATATGAACCGTTGGTCATTTATATGATCTAGATTTAGCAAAAAAAAAAAAGATGGAATGTGGTCAATTAGTAAATATCTAAACTGAAAATTACAAAGAATAGTAATTTGATCTTCATATATAGAGTAAAAAACAGTACACTTAGATAGAAAATATTACTGTATTGCTATAAATAATGTTCCTACTTAAAAACAGTCATCTCTTTTCATTCTCATACGCCCAAGTCTATTACACTGATCGATTAGAATTGCTATGGTCTTCATCTATCAAAGTACTGATTGCGGTGGTACTAGACAAACGTATGATTAGGGCTATTTTTCCAACAACAATGCATAATCGGGGTCAATGATTATTGTGATCAGCGATTTTCTATTGATTTTTCGAGAAATCAGTGGGGTCAGCTGCCCCGATAAAAAACTTTGGCTCCGCCACTGTTACATAATGAAAGACTAAATAAAGTTATGTTAGAGTACAAATAAAAGACTAAGTCACCTAAAAGTTTAGTGATAAAAGACTTTGGCTCTGCTAGTCTGCCACTGGTACACGTATATGTGAAAGTTATTTAGATAGGTCACTTAATGTTTAATGATACCATTAAATTCCATATAAAACCATTTTGGAGACGTAGCGATTCATTCTTTGCCGTAAATAACCTCGTCGAACCTTATTTTCAAACGATGCCGATCATTAAAAAAAATGTGGGCCCGTGGTTTGGTAGCATTGTTAATGAGTTTATATTGAACACCGGTAGCATATTTCAAAATGTGTAGAGAGTATACTCTCGTATTTGATTTTTTTTCCTGCTCCTTGCGACCATGCCCGATTTTTTAGCCCTTTTTTATAAAGATTTTCACAAATACACCCCGACAGTATCCTTTTAAAAAAATAGACCCTGATCTCGGCGCCGTAACAATTGGCGCCGAGCTAGCTTACACGTCTCGGCGCCAATTGCTTTGGGCTAAGGTCCAGGGTCATTTTCTGCGTGTCGTTGACGTGGCTGCTTGCATGGAGCGGACGTGGCATGAGCTCGGCGTCAATTACTATGGCGCCGAGCTATGGTAATTAATAAATTTTAATTTTTACCATGAGTTGAATATTGAGAAATGTGGCTAACTCTAGATTTTTTATAGTGACGTGTTGTTTGATCACTTAAAACAGTCTAGAAATACTTATGATAAAAAATGATCTAGGGGTTATGTTCATGAAGTAGCCTAAACATGCTTTTAAGTGTTGAATCAATAGTTAACTTCTTTTTTCATGATGTTGTTTTGACCAGGGTAAAACTATAGTTTCTTTTCTAGATATGAAGTTTGACATTTAATAGAAGTTGTAGTTTGAGTTGAGTATAACAAATTTTGCTTTTGGACCTAAATCTAAATCAGTCTTTAACATGGTTGAATTGTGACGCTGTTTTGGCCCCTCTAAATCTTTCTAATTCCCTTATCGCCGGTACTGAATTGACATGTTTATGACATTTTATCTTCCAAATTTATATAGCAACTCAATTTGATACCGTACTACGAGTTTGAATACTCTCTGAGGAGACGACAAAAAAACAAGTCTCGTCAAATTTGGACTTAAACGTGGTAAAAATCAAACTTAGCCACAGTCATAAATTCTAGACTTAGCCATATTTCTACGTGCTTATAGGTCATGACGTGCTTATAGGTGAGGTGTGGTGCGTTCGTGCTTGCATGCCTATACATGCCATGGTTCGTTGCATTCACCGATGCATCTTCAGTTAGCAATGCAATAGACGCATAGAGCCGAGCCGTGCATCGCCCCGTCGTACTGCAAGAGCCGAGCTTTGTACTGTGTCGCCCGGATGTGTTGTAGTTTCATTTGATCAGGCAAATTTTTTATCTTAAGTATTTCTAGATTATTTTAAGTGATCAAACATCAAGTCACTGTAAAAACTCTAGTGTTAGTCACATTTCTCAATATCCTAGACAGCATCCATGAATTGAACATAGATATAATACACACTAAGAGTTGAACATCTCCAACTACTTACTGAGTAGATAGAGATAGATTATTAAAAATATAAAGCATAGCGACAAACAGACCAATTTGTGGATATCTGTAAAAACAAAACCCACAAATTAAATCACGAAGCGAGAAATATTTATTTTTAATTGGAAAACATTGAGAGGCCTCTGGTTAGCGAGGATATCATGTCAGAGCGGGGGTGGCTGAAGGATCCTGAGGACAGGTTTATATTTACCTTTACCTTGGGCACGTTGATGCTGCAAGTCTTCTTTGAGTTCGTTGCTGCAGAAGCCCTTAAGCCACACTTCCTTGAGGTACCGAATCTCTTGCAGCCCAGAAAGATGCAAAGAGGCACTAGAGCACTCAACCCTCAGTAAATGATCACCATGTTTAGTTAGTATATTTTTTTAATACAAAAGAAGTTGTCTACATGTAAGTTATGTGGTGAAATCAAAAAAACAATTTAGTTGTACTTTACGAGACGAATAAGAGACTCAAGTCATAACCAAATAAAAACAAAACGAACTCCAGCTGATACAAGACCGAATCATTAATGCCCTAGTATATTTTCAATAGTTGCATCATCTGGTGCAAACAATTTCAAGGACCTTGATCATCATTAAAGGCGTATCATCTTGAACTGGCTTGATACAAAGACGTTTCATAGGCCCATTGGTACGATGTACTAAATGATCCAGGATGGACCTGCATGCCATGTTGTTCCTGTAAGGTTACCTCAAAGTTCAAGTTTTGGACGTTGAGCAGCTTAAAGCAATAATCGAGGGTCTTTGACGATCGAGCAATTGTGTCATCCAGAGAAGGAAACAGACTATCCATGTTCTTATCGAGTCGCACTGACAAGGACTCCAGATTATTGAGACACGAGATGGCAGAAAAGAACTCAAGGATGTTGTCCACGTTGGATATTGAGAAATGTAGTTAACACTAGAGTTTTTACAGTGACTTACTGTTTGATCACTTAAAACAATTTAGAAATACTTAAGATAAAAAATTTGCCTGACCAAATGGAACTACAGTCTAGAAATTCTTAAGTATTTCTAGACTGTTTTAAGTGTTCAAACAACAAGTCACTGTAAAAAATCTAGAGTTAGCCACATTTCTCAATATTCAAGTCATGGTAAAAATTAAAATTTATTAATTTCCATAGCTCGGCACTGTAGTAATTGGCACCGAGCTCGGCGCCGTGGATCTTGACACCGAGATCCACGGCGGCAAGCTCGCGCCACGTCCGCGCCACGCAAGCAGCCACGTCAACGACATGCAGAAAATGACTCGGAGCTCAGCGCGAAAGCAATTGGCACCGAGATGTGTAAGCTCGACGTTAATTGTCACGGCGCTGAGGTCAAGGCCTATTTTTTGAAAGGATATGGCGTATTTGTGAAAATCTTTTTTTAAAAAATAGGGCTGAAAAAAAAATCGGCGACCATGCCTCCATTCGAAGTCTACTGACCTTTACAGGGCCCACTCCGCAGGCCGCAGCAATTGTCTTGCTTTCGCACAGCTCAAGCAGTGCCGGACCCAAATTCGAAATCGGCCAACGTCTCGCCGCCTCCTCATTTCAAACCGAAAACCCATCTCGCTGACCCCTTCCCCTTCTCCCGTACCTCCGATCCGCCTCCGCCGCCGCCTCCCCTGCCCAGGCGCCAGAAGTCCACCTCAGGCTCCAGCACACCCGCGATGCATCTGGACGGCGTCGACGACGAGCTCGGTGGCGGCAGCTACGCTCCCTCCCCCGCTTGCTTTGAGCTCCAGGAGGATCCTTCCTTCTGGAAGGACAACAACGTGCAGGTAGAGTTTTATCCGCCTCGATGCGAGCTGCCTCATCCCCTTCCACCCAGCCATCGTTTCTCCTTCCTGGGAGTGCTATAGTCTAAGCTCGCTCGGGTCGCTCCTCGCGCGAGACTGCGCCCGCGAGCATTTCATCGAGCACGTGTATGTTTCTGGTCCCTAACTTCTCCAATCTGCAGGTTGTGATCCGTATCCGACCGCTGAGCGGCAGTGAGGTATCGCTGCAGGGGCAGAAGCGGTGCGTGAGGCAGGATAGTAGCCAGAGCCTTACCTGGATTGGACACCCCGAGTCCCGCTTCACTTTCGATCTCGTCGCTGACGAACATGTCACGCAGGTGCTCTTGCTGCTCTCGATTCTCAGTTTAGCATTCGTCCCTCTTTCCTTCTGCTGACTCATTTTTCGTGCTATGTGCAAAACGCACTTCTCCTTTCGTGTTGTTCAGGAGGATATGTTCAAGGTTGCTGGGGTGCCCATGGTGGAGAACTGCATAGCTGGCTATAACAGCTGCATGTTTGCTTACGGGCAGGTAAACTGCAGGTTTCACTTGCTGGATGCTGCTGCAAATACTCAAGTTTTA